AGCCACATTTATTCTTTTGCTTTTCGAGACACCAATCTTGACACTTTGCCTCCTTGCGCCCCGAAACACGTGATGTGGCAACGCGTGTTTCGGGGCGCAAGTGAGTTCAAAGTACGGAACTTGATATAGTGCACGGGTCATTTTGCGATTTATGTGCGTTGGCTTTTGGGCTGGCGTTACATATCTTCGTTACACAGTGCTGGCGAGCCCCAAGAAGGGCGAAACAGCTGTCCACTGTTGCGATCCTACTTTATCGGTTCTTGTCATGTTGGTGTCTAGAAACGTTTTTCATGTAGTATCAGCCTTGCAGTCTATTAATTGTAAACTTGAGCCCGCGATATGGTCACGTAATACTGGTCAGCGGATACCTTGATTTGACAGGTGTCAATTGATCATAACATGGATGTCCAAAGAAGTAATATACACGGCAAACCAAATGAATGCTGCATGTCTCTGTCAACCTATTATTTGGAGTATGGCCGCCATGTTGCGCGACTCCGTCACCGTCGCCGTCGCCGTCGTGCGTACGCGCCCAAGAGCAATACCGCTAGCCATGATAACCATGAGAAAATCAGCTCGTGGGTTTCCTTTTCTTTCCTATATGAGTATGGGGCTCCGCTTGGCGGCCGTTGGGGCCGCCGGAGCTCCGCTATAGTGTTTACCTCTAACCTCGCACTGATTCCCCCTCCCCACCCACTGTGTGTGTATGTGTGTGCGGTGGGGGGGGGGGGTGGGTGGGGGTGCTACAGCATTGATGAGCACTCAGTTATCACTTGATGGGTGACATTCAATGTGTATAATCTTTGGCCAGGTGATATAATGAAATTTTATGTTTGACACATAATACCCCAACTCCCACAAAACGTGTTACGTTTTACCCAACCATTAATGGGCCACTCTCTAGACTTCACCCAAATATTGCGTTCAATTCAAGCGTAGCAAATTTTATATCTATTTGCCATTGGAGACAATGATACCATTAAATAGATTCACAAAGATTCAGGAACATCGTTTATCTTGCTCATGTAATCTTACAGTTTGCAGGGTTTTAGAAACCCGTACTACTTAGGGATTTGGAATAACTGGAAAATGCGTTTAGGATTGGTGGAAGGACGGTAAGCTATAATTTGAACCTATCAAATACCTTGAGTGTACAGTACAGTCCTAATTACTTGAAACTCCTAGGAAAATGAAAATAAATTGGGTTCAAGGAATCAAGAGTGCTAGAAAAATGAAAATGTATCAGCTGAGGGTGATATTTTAAAACAACGCATTAACCAACACTTTCATTCAATTTTTAATAGCGGTAAAGACGATTGCTTCAAACACCTTTTACTAGAAATCAATTAAGGATTTGAGTAATTCAGAGACGGAAGCTTTGAGAATGTGGACTTTGAAAATTTGCCGGGGGGGTCTCCCATATAAATAGGACTGGGGTGCTCGTCTTACCTGTTGAGAGTTAAAAAAGCAGTTCTGGGACCTCTTGCGGTGTTCAGCGTCAAAGGGTCCACAGCGGAAGCTTTTGTGCAATTTTTAGGAAATTGAGCCCAAAAAATGATGACAGTACATATGTTATAATCAACTTTATTAGTGGTACATGTAGTTGAAGCAATTGTCTTTACTGCCATGTAAAATTATTTAAGTGTCAGTAAGTGTGTTGTTGTAGACTCGGTACCTCCAAGGGGTGAAAAATATTTCAAGCCACACCCACAAATCAGGATCTTGTACCTCTATAAAGTGATTCTTTTCCAAATTTACGACCAGCAATCCGCGTTCTTTTTATTTTTACTTTATTTGTCTTAAGTGTTTTTAATATTTCTAACTGTAAAGCGCTTTTGAACTTTTAGGATATTGACGCTATATAAATATTTTATTATTATTATTATTATTATTATTATTATTATTATTATTATTATGCGGGAGTCCCGCCCAGGAATTAATTCGAAAAAATATTCATAATGGACAATAATCGGTAAAGTAAGGCTTCTCGAAAACGATGACGTCACGAGATTTTCGAAAAAACGATGACGTCACAAGAAACCGTGCGATAAAAAAGAGCCATTATAATAAATACTTTATTGAACTAGCTCTTTCGGACCGTGTTGGAGAATATTCGGCCTCGGTTTTTTTCTTTTTTTCTTTCTTTTTTTGCAAGACGGAGAGAAAGAGAGCTTAGGTATCTCTCTATCACACCACTCTCCGCGTGTTTTATGGCTCACCAAACATTGAAAACTTCTCCAAGTAAAGTGTACTTTCGGCCTGAACCAACAGGTTTCACGGTTAGTTTTAGATGCATTTACAGCCATCCTAGAAACCCCAATTCAGAGGAAAGAAAAACTGCTTAAACTTTGTTATTCTCTTCATTTTCCTTTTTCTTCTTTTTTTGTTACTATCTTCCTCTCTCCCGAGGGCATTGGAAAGGATGCACTTGTGTTACCGTGTATTTTCTTTTTTATGACCGACCTACCGGCATTTTTCCAAGTTCATAAAGCTTGTTTACGTTGTGGTTCAATTTTACACTTGTACATAAAACACAGGAAAATACCAAATTATATCAAAGGTACATTTGAACAACAACATTTACCTAAATCATGGGCAGAAACTAATGTATATATACACCTGAATTTGGGAACGCTCTCGTTTACTTACATTTAGTATGGAAGTTGGCGAAATGAAATAACACTCTCGGAACTTCTGTCAGTTCTACACTAATACGTTTTCGTACTAAAGTGCATACTTTTTGATGCTTCTTCGCCTATATCGTACACACTAAAACGAAAATGCTCACAACGCATCGTTTTGAAAACCCTCCGTTTCTAGTGTCACTCACTTATCCTCATCGGGCCCATGAGGACTCTTAAGGCCGGTCCGTTTCTAGTGTGGAGGAGTGAAAACGGAGGCTTTTGAAAATGTTGCCGAAAAAATCGTCAAATACTGTCGATTCCGTCAGTATTTTCAGGCATTTGAGTGTGGACGATAGGCGAAAATGCACCAAAAAGTGTGCGTTTTCGAACGAAAACGCATTAGCATGGTCAGGGACTTAGAAAATCAACGCCAAAGTAAAAACAAATTTGATCGACCGCTCTGGAAATGCTGGGAGAAGCGAAATCTTTTCCCCTTGAAAACGATGAATGAATAAAATGTTACGGAAGTACACCTTACGTTCCTTGATCAATGATAGGAGTAAAAAAGGTTAAGTGCGGAATAGTTATAAATTAGAAACTTTCAGGAAACAAAACTTTAACGTTGATAGTGTTTTATTCTTCCGTTGTCAACACAATCTGTCTCGCAAAAATAGTTACTACCCGAAATGTTGCGATCTGACAATCTTTCAGGACGCCTCGCCTCGCCTCTTTTAGAGTTCAATAAAGCGTTTCAGCTGTTACATGTTCTGAAAAAAACAATTTCCTTCAGACAGAGAATTTACTAAAGCTGTCAAGCTCTATAAACAAGCAGTTTTGTTTAGGGTTTAAAGCCCTGCGCTATATTTATTCTCGGCTGTATGTGAAATCAGATTGAAACTCGCACTTAATGCCGGCGAAAGTTATATTGCTTTATAACCGTGAGTATGGTTTGTGCTTGTTATTAAAACACAGACCGCTAGCATGTATCTTAAAGCTTTGCTCTAGAAACCGAGCCGTAAATTCAGCTTAAACCAGGAGTTGGAATACATTTTAAATGCAGGACTCGAGTTTCAAGAGGACGGTCACAGTAAAGAATGACAGCTTACTTGCTATCCGTTTACTTTTAATACTCCCAGTTTAAAGCAAATCCCGCTTATGGGTTTAAAGTAAGCAACACAAGGCTCTTTTAAACGATATTATTTTGTTTTATTCCCTATAAGCAGCTGAAACTACTCATACAAGTCCAGAAACGTTATTTGTTCGCTTGTTGCCTTTCCTAAACCACTGTGAATGTTAAAACAGCTTTTAGTCGCTTATACTCTTGAAAGAAGAGCGTCTAGAGCAGTCTAAAGCGTGAGTACTTTCCTTTTTTCTAGTAAAGTCTATCTTTGCACCGCAATTAAGATACTGAGTTACCACTAAAAGTATACATGTCAAAGAACTATTCTTAGTTATTTTTACCTATTGCTTTTCGATTCCGATACAATTTCAGGGATTGTTCTGTAAGTGGTGCATTTAAAAATATTAATTTCATGTCGTTTTCTTAGTTCCACAAACCACCTTTTAAACCATGTATTGATTTCTAAAATTTTATCCACCTTTTTAATACAAGATTTTTCATTTTTCAGTGTTGAAGCTGAAGAAGTTCAATACTCGAACATTTTTCTCTTCGAAAGTAAAACATCTAGCTTTTTTTCCATGTGTTGAAAAAAATTAAGTTTTTCTGTCATCAATTGTGCGAAACGTTTTTTCCTAAAACAAAAAAGATCGAACCATTATCAGCACTACACCTGTTTAAATTCAACATGGAACCAAAACTTCTTTTTAACTTCGCCGAATTTGGGCGTATACAAAACAATTTAATGATATATTGCGTGCGTTTCAGAGTGCAGTGCAGCCATACATTCAAACTTGATGCCAAAAGGGACACTTGATTCCAACTAAGAACAGTTTTATGTTTTTCTTGTTTGAAAATTACCAAAAGAGTCCGTACAAATGTATCTTTACCAGATAGTATAGCGTATATCCCAACAGTTTGCCATGCACAGAGTGTATAACTGATGTTTTACCCGAAGACAATTGTAAACCGTTGCCAAGTTCTTTCTAAGGAGTAGGCATGCCGAAACGGATAACATTTTATATGCCTATGCTAAGTTTAGAGATAAAGAGCGACACGCTTTGCCAGTTTATGATGAATCTTTTTATGGGCAACATCCACGTGCCAATGCTTCTGTTGTCTGTAAAAACACCAACACGATTGATTTTTCATTTTCCAACAGAGCCAGCAATGATGCTTCATTCCACTTGGGCGTTGATGTTGCTGATGTGTGCTGTATCGGCATCGACATCGGATGAGCGCGTTCCTTATGGTTTGTATTCATAAGTTTAGCATGCATGTGACGGCTTGCGCGAACGGTGGAGACCCAGATATACGTTATAAAAGACAAAAAGAACAAAGGCGCTTTAGGCCTCGTCCATACTACGGTGGCTGAATTTGAAATCGCAGCTTTATCTCTACGGTTAGGCCTTCCGTCCACACTAACCCGTCACGAAAACGGAGCTTTTCAAAAATGCTCTTCAAACCGGAGGAATTTGAAAACGCCGGCTTTACGTTTTAGTGTACTGTGGACAGAAAACATTTTGAAAACGGAGTTTTTCGAAAACGATTTAGTCACGATTATCATTAATTTCTCCGCCCAAGTCAGTGGTCAAACACAAATCCAAAATGACCGGTGATTATTGCGTTTTAAAATTTCTCCGGCGTAGTGTGGACGGAAAATATGTGATGTATTTTCAGAGTGAAACCCCCATTTTCAAATTCCTCTGGCGTAGTACTGTTGAAGGGGCCTTGGAGAAACTTCTATAGCTTTGTCGATATCGCTGCTTGATCCTGGCAGAGTTAGCCGGTAATCAAGCTTTACTGGCTATTTCTTACTCTCGTGGTTGTTTTGAAAAATATAATCACTTCAAAGTTATGGCTCTTAACAGATTAATCGTGACAAAATGTTCCCTTTTTGCATTTTTGTGTAGAAAATACCAACGTTCCAGAACACTTGTGGCACGGAGACATGCTTCCGAATCCCGTAAGAGCTGGTCATAAATTGAGAAAGTGGCCAAACGGAATAGTTCACTATATATATGATCCCTCTATTGGTGAGTATGACAACTGTACTGACCAGAGCATTAGTAAGAAAAATTACGACTTTTTGTGCATTTATTGGCTAGCAGTGTTTTCCTTTCTCCCTTAAAAACAACAACAAAAACGATAAGAAATGACTAAGGCAAGTGCTGTGGATTGTCTGTCACTATGGCAAATCGGGGTTTTTGAAAAACTCATTTTGGAGTAGTTATTTCATCCGAGTGAATAGTCTTGTTGACAAGTCAACGGAAAATTATAAGACTTTAACCCATGTTGCTCAGTACATCTGGCTTTTTTCCCCCGAATTTGTACTTGCATATAGCTCTGGTATTTCGTGATCGTAGTTTATATCCTTAAGAGTTTCTTGGCTTTTGGAAACCATTTTCATTTTTTTTTTTTTTTGTCGTTGTCCTAAGCTGCAAAGTGTATAATACAAGTAACCAAATTAAGGTCGCTCACGGGGTTCCAGTTAATTCTCCAGATTGATAATTTGAAGCTTGAACTGGCCTTAATTTCAATTCTTTTTAATTTAACCCAGCAAATGAGCCTCAAGCTGTTAAAGTGATCGAGGAAGTCATGGCATACTATGAGCGAGTGACTTGCATCAAGTTTAGAAAAAGGACAAACCAGAGATGTTTTCTCCAGTTTACCAGAAGGAACGACCAGTAAGCTTGTTTTAAACCTAGAGGAAAAACTGAACAAAAAGAGCAATACACTACAGTTTCTTTCCAAGAGGAAAGCTACTTTAAATTTAATCTAAATGATTACAATGGTAGCTATTTGCAACCAGCTGCTGTTAATTTTAGTATTGTTAAAATGATCTAGATCTGTACGCGTGTTGGTATCGCAAAATGAAAGGGTCGGGTAGCAGTTCTGGTGAGGTCTGACTTGCTTCAATTTCAAGATAACCACTTTTACTGCTACTATCTCTTCTATATACTCGCCTTAGCTATTAAATATGGATTTTCATTTGTTCCACAGAGCCGGCTGCTCATCTAACGTTGGAATGATCTGCTGGCCAGGAGGGCAACATCTTAATCTGGCAAAAGGTTGTTGGGGAAAAGGTGTCGTCATTCATGAGATAGGTGAGAAGAAAAATATTTAAAACTGTCAAAAAAGCTAAAAGCTGACCCGTGACATGTATTACCAATGGGACGACCTGGTAGACCATCATATTTCTGACAATTGCGGGAATGTGATAATGTCTATCTGAAATAAACAATGTTTTATGTATCATGAACTGTGTAGTGGCGAGGAGGCAAGGAGGGGTGTGGGGGTGGTGCACACTGTCTAAATGATTAGCCCACTGGATTCCAGATCGAGCCGCCCCAGTCCAAGCCCTGGCCGGGATCATTGCGGGTAAGCACAGTGCTTCTCTCCACCCTGACGATAAAAAAAGTACTGGCCAATGAAATGCTAACGAAGAACCTTAAGCCCGGCGGGGGGAGGCAGACCTTATCAGAGTGTTGAAAAGGCTAGCAAATGTTATTAAGTACCTTTCAGATACTAAGTATTTGGAGTATCAAGTTTTTGCTAATGTACGTGTCTTGCCGTTCCCATGACAATCATGTATATTTCTTCGGAGGCTGCTTTACCCAACTTTGAAGGTAACCGAACAGTCACCAACCTTCCGCGCTTTCATCTCTAATTTTATGAGGCACATATCTGCTCTATCGTAAAATTGCTAACCTTTGATGTCTAATTGTGTTTCTATCAGCACACGCCCTTGGGTTTTTACATGAACAGGACAGACCGGATCGTGATCAGTATGTTACAATCCACAAGGAAAACCTACAAGATGGTAAAAATATTACAGTTAATAATTTATAGACCTGTTGCAATAATTTATAAGCTTGTTGAAATACCTCTGAAAGAATAACATTTTAAAATACTTTAGGGATTACAAATATCACATTCAAATAAACTTCAAATGAACGCCGGGGTCGCCCCCAGTCAGATTCGATATTTGGTTTCACCATCTCAGATAACGTTTGGACCAAATTTCTTTCTACAGGTTGGAAAACCGTGTTAGATAAACCCAAGGACACGTGGAATTACGACACTAGTGGAACTCCTTATGACTACATGAGTATCATGCATTATACACAGACTGCTTTTGCTAAAAGAGACCGAAATGGCAGACTATTGACAACGATTGAAATAAAGGACAAGTCTGTAAGCTGCCAGCTAACTAAGTGAAGTTTAGTACACTTAACCAAAGTTACTGCAAACCTTGTCTCGCCTCTCGAAAATTTGGAAAGATGTTAAAACTTTGCAGAAAAATTATTTTCAGTTTAACCGACGTCAGTGCAGACGAATTCAGCCATAATATTCAGCTTCTTTCTCCAAACAAAAAGTATGTAAGTAAGCCCTTAGAGTAGGTAAAGGTAAAGTCTGAATACGAGCCAAGTGGCCCATCAGGTCGGTGCTTATCCCAGCTTCTGTAGCATGAAGTACCTCGGAGTAGGATTTCTACTCCCCCAGGATGGGATGCTAGTTCTTCGCAGGGTTAAGTTCGCTAATACCCATTTACACACCTGCTTGTGGAGAGAGGCACTGTGAGAGTCAAGCTTCTTGCCCAAGAACACAACAAAAGGCTCTAGCAGATCGAGTAGTAAGGTCAAAAATGATTCCTTTTGGGCTCCTTTTACTAACAGAATCAGCATTGACTCTGATTGGGTTACCCTGGCTTCAATAGATAACGGTGTATGAATTGAAAAAATGCCGTGAGAACGGACAAAATATAGCAATATATGAAGGAAAAAGAAACTGAGACTGTTAAAACAAAGCATCACTGTGACTGCGTAATCCTGTTCAAACTGGTCACCATACTTCTTCACCTCAGTTCTCTTCTTACCCTCTTCCTCACAATTCTAACGTCAGTATACATTCAATAACGTCATCTATTCACTTGTATTCTTCACAATGTACGCGTATATTTATTTACGAACTCACAATGTGACCAGCTCCCAGTTGGCTTCATAGCTAGCGCTCAGTTGGTAGAACACTGCACAGATATCGCAGAGGTCATGGGTTCAAATCCCTTTCAGGCCTGAATTTTTTGCAGGCTTTAACTGAATTTCACAACTGCTTAAGTTGTGTGTGTAACTGCGATGATCAATCATATCTTCATGTCTTTCTCCGCAGTTCAAATATATGATCTTTTATATATTCACTTGTAGTCAGTAAAATCTATTGCAAAGTAAAGTTTACTTGATTGTAACGTGAAGCAATTTATTAGTTTAAGGGCTCAACTGGGAACAAACACGACTTCAGTAAGTGGGATATCGAGGAGATTAACAGGTTCTACCAATGCCAAGGTAAGGATCTGTACTGGTTATTCACAATGAGTCCGAAACGGTTGATCACGATTCGCATATGAAAATCAACAGTAACTGATATCACAACAGCTAGCGACCAACAGCAGTTGCAGTAAAACAATTTTTCTTATCATGATTTGTCAACAAGAAAACAGTTATTTATTCTACCACGAGGAAGTTCCTTTTCAAAGAAATGACGAGCCAAACTTATTACTAGTAGTGACATCTCAAATTCGCGTGGTTTATCTGTCAGAGATTCCTCATAGGGCCATTCGGACATTTGTCAAGTTATCCCTGTATTCAGTATAGAACTCAGAATAAAGTTTCCACACTATTCAATTCAAGGAATGAGCAAAGAACTTTCAAGAATTAAAAATAAATCTACACGTGTTTAGCAGAAATTCCCAGCTTTTAAAAAACAAAACTAGGACTCAAACAAAATTTTATGGTGTGAAAAGCAGGAGGCTCCACGCATGCCTCTCTCAGTACCGTGCCTCCAGTGTTCAGCTATAAATTTAACTGAATAACCACAGCAACTTCGGTCTCAACGTTTTAATTGTCTTTTTGTCATTCTTTAAAACAGGGAAACCGACGCCAACGAAGAAGCCATGTGAAGACAAGAACGACAGATGCGGCTCTTGGGAAAGTTACTGCAGCTGGCACGCGTATATGAAAGAGAACTGCAAAAAGACCTGTAAACTGTGTTGAATCCTTCAACGGTGAGGTCAGTTATATAAGATGACCGATACATTTAAACAAATTGACTCAAACAGGCCAATGCATTTCCTATTTAACAATAGGCCACTTCCGAGTTTCCTTGTGCCTCTGTTTTAAAACGAGTCCTAGTGCAAAACGTTTCACATGAAAATGAGTTTGATTAACATGAAAATGAGTTTGATTAACATGAAAATGACTGACCTGAAGGCGGAACACATTTACATGTGAATGCTTTCGCACCAAGACTCGTTTTGACACAGAGGCCATTGGATTTATATGAGCTTGAAGGGAGTTGATAAGGCCGAACACTTCTTATAATTCACATAAGATCCTGTGAGAGGTAGTTGACGGGGCGCAGCCCGAGTGAACTATCGCGCAAAGAAATTGAGAGAGAATAGCCCAATTGTTGAATAGCGTTTGCTTAAGATCGTGTTATGTCCCCTTCAATCGCTCTTCGTTTATTCACTTGTCTAATCCGTATAATAATAACTTCCTAATACGTATTTTTCGTTAAGAGAATTTCCAAACAGTTTCATTTTCATTTTCCATTTTCGGGATATATGGAATTTCTTTCTGTTCGTAGCACGTTTGTATCTGTTAGGAACCCTGGGCCGGGTTGTTCGAAAGCTAACCCAGGATTAAAAGTTAACATAAGTATTAATTTTTTTCATACAAATTTTTTTTTCCACTGCTTATGTTTTGTGTATTTTGAACTGATTATTCAAACTCAAAACAGACGGCCAAACAATGTAAACAGAAAACTTACAAAACTCAAATCGAAATTCTCGCTAATCCTGGGTTAGCTTAATCGGGTTTTGAACAACCTGACACTCCAGGTCACTGTTGCTGATTCAAACTCGTTTTCTATCTCAGTGGACTGGTTGACTTTCACAACGTTCGTACGAAGGAAAATAATTTTCGTTCTCCAGTATGCTGACGCATAAAACACACTACAACAATGTAAAGACAGGCAAAGTGCAAACACTTGCCCGTTGAAATACAAAATCTTATGGTCTTTTCTTTCTTTCTTTTCCTTTTTAGGTCAGATGCATCTTGACACCAGCGGGAGTTACATTGCACATGTAAATCATGTCAGTAGAATAAAGATTTTATTAACCAGCAGTCCTCCGTAGACTGAACTGTTCTCCCCCTGAACCAATTCAGATCTACAAACTGAACTTAAAGATACCAAAGTGCCTACGAATGGATGTTTAGCGCGGCGAGCAGACGTAAATGTCTTGTTTACGCAATGAAACCCATCACAATAAACTCTGAGCTTGCATCGAGATGCTTGTCCGGGCGTAAGGGAGAGTTTGTTTAATCAGTCTAACACAGATCTTAAGGAATAAAAACCCAGATGACCTGGAACACTTGTCTGAGTGTGTCGTTGGCAGTGGGAGCCACGTGCAGTATTATCATGCTCGGCAATTGAAGTTATTGTGTAGAAAATATCCCACAATTACACAGCCGA